ATTCACCTACTTGGATGGCTGGTATTACTACAGGTCCATTCTACAACCTAATTAATCTCCATTGGGCCCATTACCCGTTAACTAAACCTAATGGACTTACCTTGTTGGGCAATTGACTACCTATATATTCTTGTTTTACTCTTGGCCTCACAAGACTGGTCTTTCTCGTTGGGCATCCTTCGTGTTTCTTCTCAGCCATCTTTCTACTTCTATTCCACTTTGCCTCTGTGGTTACTTTCTTGGTGGTTTTGCTTTACCTTTGTGGTGTTCTCTAAGTGAGTTAATAGCTACCAACCTTAGGTGAAAACTTAGTGGTGTTCTTGGGACGCTGGATTTGTGGTGTTGATTTGAATTTTAAAAACTGAGCCTGTAAAACCTTGGGTGGTTGGAGATTGGTGACTTTACAATAGATTCTTACTGTTGATCGATTTAGTGTAGCACCAAAATGCTAGTCCATACAACTTTTTTATTTGCCGTCCTATCTTTGTTAAAGAGCTTGGTATGAATCAAGTTTCATACCTCGCCGTCTCTTGCTTGTGCCTCTTCTTCCCATTTGACTTGTGCTTGCTTACTCCTCTCTCAATTTGTGATGGCAAAATGTATTTTTATAGTTGCATCTATTTCTTGTATCTTATAGAGCTTTCCTTTTCACCCGAACAAAAATGAATTATCACAGCGATATTTCTAATTGATCTCTTTTCAGTGTGGTCATTACATTATGTTTAGAAAATTTATATACAGTTTAAACATGATTAATTTGCTAATTGCTCTCAAAATAGATAGCATTCTGACATTTGTTAATGAGTCGTGTTGTGTTATTCATGATCATTAGCTGCCGTAGTCATCATATATGGTATAATTTTAGAATTATTTTGGCGATAGGTATGACATCTAATAAAGTGCAGTTAATTCGTTGAATGATTATTTTGCCCCACAAAGAAATTGGTATCTTGAGGGTTTGATTGAATAATGTAGTTTAATATCAAGACAGAAATTTCCCAGGACATTATGAAAATTTTGCCTTTAATATTTCTAAAATCTTTATAAATACAATATATGATAGCACAACTCTATCCACAAAAAATCATATATAGCATATCCCAGGACTATGAATTTGTGGCTAAAATTTATGAAGATCGTGTTGAGAATAAGGGACTTGCTAATATATGAAAATCTGATTTTTGCTTCTGTTTCTGCATTTGAAATACTGTTATTAGTGCACTTAAAGTATTGTAAAAAATATTCATTGTGGTTATTAAAGATTGGACACTGAATGACTAATAAGAAATTCATTTATAAAGTAAAGTAGTCTTTTAATAATGATCGTACTTGTAATACATGGGAAAAAAAATGTTTGATTATTAAAACAAGATCATCAAGATTCAAATATTGAAAAAAAAATTATTTGAGCAAGTTTTTGACAGTTTCAGTATATGTTAATACTAGGTATCCACCTTAATGTTAACGGTTAATGTAACTATTTATGGCCAACTTATTGAGCTCCTGTTTGGTGGGAATTAAAATCAAATTTTTAGAAAATATTGATAAAAGTTAATAAAATGTGTAGTTAAAAATTGTGGATCCTATGAAATATGTGCTTAAAATTATGACTTTTACTTAGATTAAAATCTAAAATTTCAATCTCTACCAAACAATAGCTAAATTTAAAGTTTAAATTAACTAACTGGTTGGAATAACTTCCCATATGGTTATAAGATGGAAGTGTAGATGTGGAATGAAGTGGTTTAGTGGTGTTTGTATAAGGATGATAACGGGTTTTAGTCAAACACGAATAAAATTCCCATAGAATTTTCTCTCAAAAGAAAGTCAAGCGTTTGTTCCATCAGAGTAAGTCAATGTTTGACAACCATTATTTTGAAACTCTTTTTTCTACATATTCTTTTTCAACCCCACGTTCACATAATAAAATATTTCATACATAAACTCAAAAAATTTCCATCTTTTTTAATCACACATTCTCCTAAACATTACTGTTCAAAACTCTATTTTCCTCAAATAGTGGGTGTCATACAATAGCCATATTGGTTACAAATTGAGCATCTAAAAAAGCTGGTTGGTATTGTGAGGTCTATCTTCCATTGCAGATTTTCAATTAAATCATATGACTAGAGGTACACAGTTAATTTCATACAAAAATATCATCAAGTATTGAATTGATTAGATATAAATGGTACAAAAGATTTCATTGGACTTGTATATCACGAAACTTTGCATATACTCTGGACAAAAGGTTGCTTATAATATTCCAATATTTGAGCGGTTCCCTTCTGGTGATGATTGCCTTGAGAAATTCTATTGAACCAGTGGGATATTGGCAATATCTCGTCTGCATGGAGTGTGGCAACTCAAACTTGATCATTCGATTTGAATGCATATTCCCCCAAAAAGGGGAATAGGTCATATTGTTCGTCAAAGTGTTTCCTGTCCACTCTCAGCATCTCGGTCAAGCTTTGTTGGCTCTATAAATGTAACGACGTTGTTTTGCAGATCATAAGATAGAGCACTGGAAGTATATAAACTGTCATCAAAGAGATAACGGTGACATCCACAAGAACGCAATAATCTACCTGCAGGAGAATTCCATTAATCAGCTATGCAAATAAATTCTATCAAAATCTCTGTTATCAGATATATATAGTTAAATAAAGACAACGTAGTCAGTGCATAAAGTGTTAAAGTGAGTAAAATTTCTCGGCTCAATTCTCAGTACTATCACGTTCACAAGTGCAATGGTAAGAATCACCTTCAGTAGTTGTACGAGCACACTAAAAATACCTTCGCTCACACACACTGAGATACACGAAAAAATTTTACTTCAAGTTATAGGCAATAGGCAAAAATCACTACTACCGACGCGAATTTATCTCAAGCAACATAATCTTGCATAAACCTTGTCCAGCTTAAGCTCATTATCCTTCATATTCGGGAACCGACTGATATATAGCGTGTCAACTGACTTGAGCTTAAATCAGATGCCAAAGACAGACCCAAAATTCCAAACTGTCCCTAACAAATAGGTGGATTCGTTCCTCATTCTTTTGTCATCAGCATTTCACTTGGGTGAAATCATTAATATCGTCACAGAAAATGAGTAAAATAATACAAAATCTGGCCTTTCATGACCATAAATGAAACCAACTTTTTGATGGAGATCCTTGTATATATTCTTGGGAGACTTGCCAAATAGGTATTTACTATAGGCAAAAGAAGAAGAATACCTCAGAACTAATCCTTTATTCCTTCTCAATAGGGCACAATTAAGTAATTATCTATTTTCATAGTTTGGTTGGTTATTAATTTTCCTCTTCTCTATCTCTCATCTTTATCTTTTCTTCTCTATTCTTTTATTGTTCTATATACTGTGCATCATCACTCTTAATGCATGAACCTCCAACCACGATACAACTTTTCTCAAGTTTCATTATGGCCAGATTTTCATCTCAAGTCATTTGCCTTCAATGTAGATGCCCATGGCATTGTAATCTCACCTAACATGCTACCATGAGACCACTGATATTGGCATGTAGCTTAACCTTACATGGGCAGCTATAGGAATTAGGAACTTACAACAATCACGCAAAAAATTAATAATAACCAAAAAGAAACAATAACAGCGGATAGAGTTTAAGGAGAAAATTCAGGCGTTTCCAGGTCCATTGCAGTATTGCAAAAGAAATACTAATGTAAACAGCCATTTTAGAATTTTAAGAGAGATCAAAGAAATTTTTAATAAAGATTTTGCATGACTTTGAACACACAAGGAAAACGTTCAAGAACAAATATATCAATTTGATAAGTAGTGAAAGTGTATCTGCGATCTTCTTCTGTCTCTCACCCGCAAAGCAGAATGCTACAATGGAAGGATCTTCTATTCCAAGAACTCACAATGGTGAATGACATAAACTTCAATTCATAGAACTACTACACTTCTAGTCTGATGTTGCTTGACTCATAATTGGCTTTACCTTCATTACTTGCCTAATTCTACTATCAATTCCCTCTTCAATTCGTCTACATATTTTATCATCTATCATATCCTTCCTTCCTTCCGAGTTCAAAGCTTCACGAACAAATCTATAAGTATACTCTCTTGGAACTGATCCTCCGTCAATCAACTCCATGAGAAATTCCCATGCCTCCATTACTCTCCCCACTTCACACAAGGCATGGATTATCGGGGTATAAGAACTTGTAGTTGGCACCCCATGTTTCATTTCTTGCATCCTCTTCAACATCTCAATGGCCTTATCAATCTCATTTACTGCACTATAGTACCTAATGAAAGAATTATACGTAATTCTATTTGGTATGCATCCCCTCTTTGGCATATCCTCGAACAACTCCAAAGCCCTTCCAATCCTAGAGGTCTTACAACACCCATTGATTAAGCAATTGTAAGTTACAACATCAGGAACAAAACCTTTGAACAGCATTAAGCGAAACAAGTGATTTGCCTCCCACATCCGCCTCCTAATGGCCTTCCTACAACCAGTCTCCATACTGTACCTACAATAAGAACTAATCAAAATCGTATAAGTAAATGCATCCGCTGGGCATCTAAACCCTGGCAACTCCATTTGCTCAAGCAAGAACTTAGCTTTCTTGAAAAACCCAACTCTACAAAGCGCATAAATCACTGTATTATAAGCACAAACATCAGGCTTACAATGAAATTGTTTCATTCTATAAAATGCAGCCAATGCCTCATTCACCAAACCCTCCTCCCCTAAAGCCTTTATCAAGCAAGTCATAGACGCAGTTGTCACAAGATTAACCTTCCTTCTCGACATATTCTTCAAGAAATCCCATAACAGATTCATCCTATTCCCTTTAACCAATACAAGAGCCATCTCTTTACAAGTAGACTCATTATGTTCAAACCCAAAATGGGTCTCAACCCAATAGTAAAACTCCAATGCCTTCTCTAAACCAAGATTTACCTTCCCTAAATCTCTATGCGCAGCTGGACCAAGAATAAGAACCCCTTTTCTGTATTTAACAAATTCCTGTTTCAGATTTCTTTGTCTGAGAGCGGTCCGGTGGCGGAATGATTTTTGACGGCCAATGGATCTTGAGGACTGGAAGAGGTATAAAGGGATGGATCTAAGGACTTGAGTGACTGATTCTGAGGTCCAAATGGGGTTGGGTGAAATTGTTGGAGATGTGATTTTGTTAAATGGCTTGTTTTGGATTATTGCTGCAAGAATTTGGTTTACAAGATAACTTGTTTTTGGGACTTGACGGTGGAGTGGATTTGATGAACACATAAATGAAGTGACAATAATGATCGAGGAGGAAATTTAGGTTGCAACGATGGAGTAGAGGCGCAGGGGTAAAGATTTGGGCGAATAGTCGAGGTAGGGAGAAAGAGTCGTGCTGTGTGTAGGTAGTTTGAGAGGAATTTATATTGGAAAACACTTGGCAAAAAATTATTGACAGTTGGTCACAATGACATTTCTGATTGATATTTTGGTTGACATTCTCTCTGTAGACATTCTGACCATTGTTTGTTTCTATTTTTGTAAAAACGATAATGAAAAATAGAGTCGTTATGATTTTTATAGAGATGAAAATTCAAATTTGGTGATTTAATATGATAGATAACGATCATAATTTTTTGTTTTAATAAGAAAAGAATGAGAAACAAATAAGGGCTTAAACAATATTTGTTCAAATCAATTGTCAAATTTTTTACATATCATGGAATGCATTTCATGCAAAATGTTAAAAATAAATGTCAAAGTAGCTTTATTTAAAAAAAATGGCAGCATACGAGTGCTGTCATCTTAGCTAGAGCTGGGCATGGTTCGGTTTAGTTCGATTCTCTTTATAACCGAATTGAACCGAAATTTTCAGATATTTAATAAGTGAAACCGTCGGGTCTAAATATAATTATGGAACCATTCGGGTTCGGTTCGATCCGGTCCGATTCGATTCTGGTCGGTTCCATACCATAATTATATTTTTTAACATTTACAACAACACTACATAAACTCAACTAATAACATATTCAATCATGGCTTTTACAAATTAACGAAGTCCAATTCAAAAACATATAACTAACAAGTTGTCAAATAAAATTAATTTACCAACATATATAAAACCAAAAAGTAGAAACTAATATGAAAATATTGGCGATCTATATCAATAATTCATTTGTTTCAACTTTCAAGTTTACATAAATAATAATAATAATAATAATAAAATAAAAAAATTGAATTCGAATCATAGAGGTAAAATATTTTTAAGTATTACTAATACTTACAAGCTATTAGTTAATTTGTTAATTTGTTTAGAAAAAAAATAATTTGATTTATTCAATATAAAAAAATAAGTAAAATTCAATTCTTATTCGATTCTTGTTCTAGAACCGAACCGTACCCGTCTGTTCTCAATTCAGATACCCGTTCGGGTATTTAACTTTTGAAGAACTGTCGGGTTCGATTCGATTTGGTTCGAAAGTTTTGTCCAATCCTAATCTTAGCACATGTAAATTCTCCTATTAACAACCCATGTACAAACAGATTAACCAAGAGAGAAAATGCGCGTTTGTATTTATTTTTTGTAAATTCGCATAGTTTCTTAATCGGGTATGACCTAATGAGCACCGGTACTTATCTTATGTTAAGTACCAGTGCATAAATTCGCATAGTTTCTTAATCGGGTATGACCTAATGAGCACCGGTACTTATCTTATGTTAAGTACCAGTGCATCATATAAATTCATTGGTGGATAAATTTATAGTAGGCCTCTCAACATTTGAATAATGTTTAAAATCCCCCAATGAATTTATATGACACATTACTGATGCTTAAGATAAAATTAGCACAAATGCCCATTAAATCATCTCTGACATCTAAAAACACTAGTACAAATGTAAAATAGTGTATTTTATAAATTTGTTTTTTAAATAATACATTTTGAATAATAGTCATGAATAAAGTTATTCATATTAAAACACAATAATCACATAACCAATAAAAAAGGGAAAAAAGGAGCATATCTTATTCTGTATCTTAATTTGCAGTTATGTACTTTTCATTAATTTAAATATTAATGCCCATTGATAATTACAATAATTTATTTTCATAAATATTCAAAAATTACATATCAAATTTAAATAGTTAAATATTTAGCAATAATATTTATGAAATTAATATATAGATGGAAATTGGAACAATACATTATGCTTGGGAGTTTCGGCATACCAGTTATGGGCATTTTTTAAAGCGCCTTTTTGAACATTTATGAGCGAGTTGATTTTTCTGGATTTTAGCAATGATTTTTCAAACTATGCAACCTAGAGAATTTATTATCCACACGTTATGAAGTTTTTTTAAAATATATATATATATATATATATATATATATATATTAATATATTTTTATTTACAAGTTACTTTTGAAGAACTTGTGTTGGTCGGAAATAAATATTTTATAGAAGGTAAAATTATAAGAGAATATAAGAAACGATCAAAACCCGTCGACTTGGTGGATTAAGAGAATCGGTCAAAATTATACTATATCAATTTTTAATAATTTTTAAACCATTCAAAATCGATGCCAAAAAAATTAGTAAGCACTGATTTTTTCAATCCCACATAAATGGCGCCATTCAAAATCTATCAAAACAGGTGAAATTTTTTTTTTTAACTTATTTATAATTTATATATATACATTTTCTTGCTCTTGTCTTTGTCGTGGAGACAATTCTCTCTTGCAACAAAGTAGATTGTGTAACTATCACATCCTTCGTTTTATTTTCTTTTGCAAATCTCAACTTTTCAAAACTTTTGCCTCCAATGTCTCGTATTCCATTTCTTACTATATTTGCTAGTCATTTTGTTTTTTTTAAATGAACAGATGTTACAATATTTTGTGCAATTATTATAGTAATGGTTTATTTAATCATAAGAATTATGTTAAATCATGTTTTTGGACAATTATTTTATTATAATATTGGTTGTGCACAAACATTAGAAATCGAACTATAATGGAATGGATGCATATTTATTAGGAAAATATTATAACTCTTATAATTAACATTACATTTTGAGAAATGATAAAAAATTTATTAAATTGCAAAAACCAAGTCACTCCAAAATAAACAATATATTTTCTTTAAAAAAAAACCTTATGGTTTAAATAAAAATCAGATTTTTAATAGATTTTAATAAAAATTGATGGAATTAGTTGTTGAAAAATTGTAGATCCCATAAATTGTATGGTTAAAATTTAGTGTAGAACTCTATATTTGATTTTAATTCAACTTTTTTCCCCTTGTTTGAACTCCATTTTATTCAAAATGCATTTTCTCTCTTCTCTCTTTAATCACATTTTTCAATAAAATAATATTAAATGTAAATTCAAAATTTTCCTTATTTTTTTATCACATTTTTTCAAAATAAAAAATAAAAAATTAACTATTTCAAATTACATTTTTCCCCAAAAACATATTTTAATAGAACCCAAGCAAAGGAGTAAGTGGAGCCAAATAGGGGCCTGTTCCCTAGATTTGAAAATTGACAAGATAACTACTCGGTGGATACATGAAAATAGTTTCTTTCTTTTAAAGTGATCACAATAACATAGAAAATTAGTTATTTTCTCTTTAAAATCAATTGAAATATGTACAAATATGGATAGACATTGCAGTGGCTAAAAGAAACGTTGAAGGTATATTATAAATTCTGTTTGTAGGGTATGTGACTCCTTCACTATGTGATTGTATGTCAACGTTATGATCTTGAATGGACTGCTTAACAAAAATAATTGTGATTCCGACTCATTTAATATTGTGTAATTTCGACAAATTTATATGGCATGAGTTCGCAGGAGATGTGATAAACAATTGTAATTCCACTATTGTTACCTCATAGAATTGTTAGAGTTTCATATGACAATTATTCATATAGACATAAATGATTGTCAGAGATGATGGTTGTGATATTGACGAGATGTTTAGTGACATATAAGTATGGCTCGTATGAGTTGATTCCTTTCTATATTACATAGTTGTGACCACGAATTTGTGGCCCTCTCACTGTGTGAATGGAAAGATAATAGCTATTTTTCTTTGTATAAATCAAGTGAAAGAATCATTCTCCCTTTATATCGTGGGGGGAAAAAATAAAGGACAACATATCAATTTAAATTGCCTTAATATTGGAGACAATATCATAAATGTAATAGAATTCTAAAATTTTGAATTAATTAAATTCCAAAACATCTAATTTTCAAATTTTCTTTTATTGATCACTTAATTTGTGAAAAGTAAAAGTTGAGTATTCAATTGATCAATATTTTTATGGGGTATTTACACAAATACCCCATATGTTGGGGTCATTTTGAAAAAACATGATAAGCTTGGATTAAATGGAAAACAGTTAAAACTGGAAGTATTTTTTACGCTCAATTTTCCAGAAACTGAATCAGGATTTAAACACCCATCATCCACCCTCGACTTCACATGGGTTGTCGGATTGTGTTCGGAACGTGCAGCTTGTGTAGCAGCTTTAGGTGTGGTTCCTCTACTCTTCAATGCATCATAGTTACAAAATAAAAAAATAAAAATATATATCTTGAAGAAAATCATAAAATGTCAGATTTCATATTTCTTACATTTAGTCATTATTTGAGTTAATGAAGTAATGCTTGAACAATTTGAAATGATAACATTATTTTCGAGTTAAGCTTATAGACAACTGTTATCTTCATTTCAACGGGCAAATCAGCATTCATGTGACGTCCTAATATCCAAATGTGTTTGAATTAATTCAATTGATGCTTCCAATGCATTTTTATGAATGAGAATGAGAAAAAGTGACATTCTACTTTTCTATGAAAATGTCGCAGCATCTTATTGAAGCAATTAACTAGGTATTTATGTGTGTTTGAAAATTTAAATATACAAATTCAAATATTGTTTTAATCTTGCAATCAATTCATATTTCTTTAAAACAATTCAGTTGATTCATCCAAGGTGTTTACGAAAATGAGAATATAAAAAAGTGATATATGTCACCTTTTTTTTCTTGAAAAGGTCGCATTGTCTAATTGAGGCAATTAACTAGATGCATACGTATGTATTTTTGAAAATTTGAATATAGAAATTCAAACATAATTTTAATCTTGCATTTAATTCATGTTTCTTTGAATCAATTCGATTGATCTATCCAATGTGTTCGTGAAAATTAGAATGTAGAAAACTTTTCTTTGAAAAAATCAAAGTATCTCATTGGAGCAATTAACTAGACCCATATGTATGTGTATTTTGGAAGTTTAAATATACAAAATCAAACCTTGTATTAATCTGGCATTCAATTTATATTTACTTGAATCAATTCAATTGATGCATCCAGAGTGTTTTGAAAATGTCAAAGAAT